TGGGGGGGGTTGGTGTTATTTGCGAAATGAATGAGTCTTGGCATAATTGTTATGGCTTTCTGTGGTTTCTCATTGCCTACTCCCGATACAGCTCTATGAAAATTGCTAGGGCCTTTGTGTACTACAAGAGCTCGAATCTAAGAAGTATTCGAATTAGTAGATTATGAATACTACTCAAAGAGGGGAAGAAATACAGGATATACCTTTAAAAAGCCAAAAGTAATACACGTTCTTTTGTAACTTAAAGACATACCCCAAATTGTAGGGGAGCATCTAAGGATCAGATTTCTATTTCACAACATAGTCTCCATTTAGTTCGATAGCCACTGTCCACCTTTTACTATGTCCATGTATGCCAGTCTTGTAAACCGTGGCAGGTTGGTCTTAGGGGAACAGCAGTCTTGATTTCTCCATCATTTCCATAATGTTGATCTCTCAACGGTTCTTTCCTTGGACCCAAAAATGGAAGTCTGAAGAAGTCAAATAAGGAGAATAACCCGGGTAGGCATTGTTTTCCGCCCAAACGGGGTGATTGTCTCCCTTGTTTTGGTACTCTTGCATAGGCATGCATTGTCATGGGGGGGGGGGGACTCTTTTCGTGTTCAAATTTGGTCAGGTTCGTCGATTTCTCGTTTTCAGTCGTTTCGGTGTTTCATTTTAGACTTTAGAATTGACAGTTATTCTTGTATTAAAGACATGTGAGAAGCACGCTATGAATGTCCCCAAAACACGGCTACCTTGACTTTTCCTCTGGCAAGCATATTATGGACACCTCTTCGTCTTCTTCCGGTTCATTGTTCAAATCTCTTTTTGGATGTTACCGGTGGATTCTCCTTCTAAAACAAGAATTTCAATCACAACTCTTTACCTCTGACAGACCTCCAAGGGGGCAGCCATTTTGATGTGACTTCATTCAGGCAAAAAAGTAGGAAACTTAGATTTTAATAATAAGAGTTCAAAAGTACATGTGCAAGTACTTGTGAGCTGAATTTCATAAATTTGATGCATAATTGTGCAAAAAAGCTAACAAATTGCATTACTTTTTCCCTCTCCCTCGTAATTGGCAATCATTGGTCCTTCTCCTTAGTTCCAAACGTAACTCTTCACATCTTAGGTGACCGACGTTGTTGTTTTTTAAGTACAGTACTTTGGTCCTGTTTTATTTATAGTGCAGCAGATACTTTCAATGCCGGTGCTAACATATAAGCGTTCAAATCTGTGCACACTACACAACCTGATCCCACCCACTGGGCTTTGTGCAACTTCTCGTTCAATTCCTTCTCTTTCGAGGTCTGTCTCAGGATATAAAGTTTCCCTGTCATGCTGTACTCACATATAATTATAAATCACCTTGTATTTGGTACCAACAGAAAGATTATTCAAAATCCCACCCAACGTAGGAACCATCAAGTTCCAGACATCTCTCCGGTCGATGTACCCTCCGGTCTTAGACAGTGGTCAGTGATCGTTTGACCAAAGTCCTGGGTGCTTTTCTCATAACTTCTTTAATCTGGTCTCGTCCTCTAATCGCCAACCTCGCAGTATTTCTTTCACATTGGAATACGGGTGTTATTCGCATGGGGCGAGATCGGGTGAATAAGGCTGGTGTTCCAATAATTCCACGAGTAGCCCCACAACTTTGGAACAGGCTCGTTGTCATGATGCAGGATAACACCTTCTTCTAATATTTCAGGTTTCAGTTTGTCTTTGAGGACGAGCCTGTAGTAGTCACCATTGACAGATACGATAGGTGGGACTGGCCAATGGCATGCCTCGCATGTAGAACAAACCATGTTTATCACCTTTCTCTCTCCGTTTTTTCTCCGGGCTTTTCTGTGGCCTCGGCTCGTCCGAATCAAGTCATTGAGCCGACTGTCTTTTCAACTCGGGATCAAATGAGTACGGTACACCCAAATTTCAACACCAATGACGATTTTACTGAGAAAATCTAAACCCGCTTGCTCAACGCGGGTCAAAAAGTGCCGTGCCGCTTGAACATGGGCTGTTTCTGTTCCGGTGTCAACAAATTGGGCACCCACTTTCCGAAGACGTTTTTCTTGCCAACATCGTTGGTCAATATTCGGTGAACTGTTGCTCTGGACATAACAATTACTTCACTTATTTCCCTGCATGTTCTTTTCGTATCTTCCTCCACAACAGCTTTGGTTCTCTCTACACTGTTGCCACAAATTACGACAACTGGGCCCTCCCATTGTGCGTTTTATCTTTCAAGTCAGATATCACATCTTCAACCTCCCTGGTCCATTTTTCTTACTGTTTGAATTGATGGGGCATTTTTCCCGATTACTTTGCATTGATCACCATGGGTTTCAACTGCAGACTAACCGAGATAAGTCGAAAATTTGATCACAACTCGGTCATCTTAGGGTGAGAAGATTGCATCAATGTTTTGCTTAGCCTTTTTCCTCGGATTTGCCTTGGGCCAAAGAGGTTGTAAATAGAACTAGAGGTCTCAGCTGTGACGTCATGAGTGTCAGACCAGAGGAGCGCGCTTCCGTAGCTGAGAGGGTCAGAAAACCAGTAGGTACTAGGTACACTGTAATACGGGGTGCCCACTACAGATGGGACCGGCCGATTGGGGCGATCGCCAGACTCGATAGCCTCAAAAACAAACGTGTTTGTTTTCAGTTTCAGGCGATCGAGTCGGGCGATCGGCCCGATCCATCCGTAGTGGGCACCCCGTATAATATACAAGGAGCGCAAAAGTAAAAATGCTAACAATGGTTCAAATTTGTGCCGTAATTTAAATGCAAACAAGCTTGAGATAGAGGAATTGCAGCTTTCACAAGCTGGTCGTTAGTGCGAGTAAACATAATATAGCGTGTTCACTTTCGTCTGCGGGTATGAAAAAAACACTCTAGGCCTAGCTCATTTATTCATTTGACGATGCACACATAATTTTGCAAAGCAATCCTGTGAGCGAGCGGGGTGCAATCAATTTTGTAAGCATATAAAAGAGCCCTTTCTGTTAACAATCTCAGCCACTCACTTTCTCCTCGCACCGCCACCCCCACAACAACAAAAAATTAATTAATTGAGCATAAGAAAATCCCCACCCCACCCCGGAAAAAAAGAAAAAAACATTGCCTCTTAATGAAATATCTCTCTGTCTATCTTTCATTTATAGCAAAGGTTTAACTGCAATTATGTTTCGCACAATCGGTCAGTATGTGTGGTATTGTGTATGCATGTAAGTTAGACGGTTGAACGATAATAGCAACAAAAAGGAAAAAAAGCACCAAAAAATTAAGTAAGTGCTTACTGTGAGCTCAACCCTTCGTACTCAATAAAGACCTAAAGACTAAAGGCTTTGCAAGGGACGCACAGCGTGACACTGCTGTTTCCAATCCTCTCGAAGATGGCGGCGCCGCGTCTTTACGTGGGTAACGTCACAGCTGAGACCTCTAGTACTTCCCAAGACAGAAGATACCTTCTAAACTCTCTGGTTCTAGGCTATTTATAACCTGGACAAAGTGCACAAGAACATTGACGCGTTCACCAATGCACTTGCAATTTGACGTCTAGATTTTTTTAGACATGACGTCATGATGTCATAACATTTAGTGGCTGTTGGTTGTGTACTTTGGATTCTATGGAGGAGGGAAACTTTATTGTGAGACAGACCTCGGACCTTGCATTCATTACATTGATCCTTTCGGGGAACGTGGAAAGATAGATTGTTCGTTTTGAATAGTTGCTTCTGAAAGTTGTCTAGGATAAGTCTAGTGCGTTCCGATTTGACTCTTCATGTAATTTTTTTTTTTGGTGCTCCGTATAGAGGCCTACAATTGCAAGGCTTTGAAAATGTGATTCAAGATAGATTTTTACTTGTATTCTGTCTGCAGTTGATCTAATAGGGAAGCAATTTCGTTAAGTTTGTCAAAGAATTACTTATGACAAAATTGATTGTCGTGTTCTGCTCTCTGATGGTAAATCCGTCGTGAAGCTCCCGTCATGTCATGTGAACTCTCTTTTCAGCAGCCACGAATAACCACTGTGTGAGGTCAGAGTTGTAACACATTACTTTGCATAGACGTAGAATATCACAAGGGAATTGTTTCAAATAAAAGTGTAGAGCTGGAGGGTTGACGTTTACGGTCTGTTGAAGAGATTTTTCGGTGCGAATGTGTATGTGAGTAGTTGTTTTTTTCGAGTGACAAATTAAGTATCTGCCCGGCACTGCTAAAAATGATAAATGATCTCAATGATTCAAGAGTGACACACACAGCAATGAGCGCATACTTAAAGTAAACCAAGAAACGTTAAAAATCTCGATAAAAATATTTACCAATGGGTGTACCGAATGTAAAATTCAGTATTCAGCGCATCTTCATTAGCTGTCAATCATCGGCTTAAAAAAAATTGGTCAGCAACTTTTACCGCAATTTATCGACTTTATCGAGTCACTAGTAACTTATTCTTTGAGGTCGTCTTGCCCTTTTTCAACACCACTACCAAATCTAGATACTGGTTAATTATGTAAATGTCCTTGCCAAAAATTTCTGGTCATCGGCAAGATAATATATTCAATCTGAGTCGATGTCAACCAAGGCGACAACTTATTATTTTGATGTTATCCTCAAATCCGATTTGACAAAATCCACAGTCGTTTGGGTCGCTCCGCCTAAGGGACAGGTGAACACTTCTAAAAGACACTGAATCTTCGTGATTCAACCGCCAATTCGCCGCGGGCAGTGAAAACTTGAGCCTGGGAGTTTGAATCAGGTGGAAATAGGGGACTGGTACGATATGGGCGATCGATTTACAGAGGTATGAAAACACTTTGTAGTCATTTTTCAAATTCGGGATTCTAACATAAGGTGCATCAAAGGCTGTACTACATAAAGGGATCGAAAAGTGATTTTTCGACAATTTTGTGGCTTAGGTGGTTGAATCACGAGGATAACGGCTAACATAATACTTATATTTTCCAAACTCTAAAGCCCAGGTTACACGCAACGATAAAATGTATCAGATTCATCGTATGCAAGTACTGTCCGTGTTATCGAACTGTGTTGTCTATTTACACCTTCCAATCTATCGTCCAGTTTTCTTTCGACCGAGCAGATTCCTCGTCATAAAGCCATCATGTCTCTTTGCGACGACAGCGATTTGCCTGCACTCTGTGTGAAGGTTTCGAGCTCTGGACCTAATGAATGAAAGGCGAACAATGTACCTCTAGATCTCGAGAGCCCCACCCTCTCCCATGTACATTTTGATATAGTAGAACAGTGTCTTTAGAAAAGGTTGGCCATACTGTACCGTGCTGTTTGTAGAAAGAGAAGCTTTGACTTGACTGTAGAAGTGCAACGCACCGAGTAACCTTGATGCACTTCACCTTTGACGATAAATGATAAATTTACTAAAAATTTACTTAGTTTCGCATCAAATCAGGTTCTCTGGGAGCTACTCTACTAATATTGAGACGCTGATTCCGAATATGAAATCAGTTTTAAGATGAAATAATTATTTTTAAAATTTTGCGCCTTAAGGTTAACCCTGCGCGGCGGCAAATTTCAAAGTGAACATACGTCACAGCGCGTCTCCCCCAAATGTGAACGTGATCGCATGAAAATATCAAGCAGTGCTTGATTTCTCGACTGAGTCTTCAAACTATCGTCAATCGTCCAAATGGTGTACAATTTTGTGGTCACACCTAACGATTTATCGTATGATCGCTAGATCGTCCAGTTTTTCTACAATGTATCGTTACGTGTAACCGGGCCATTAGGAAGCTAGATATTACCAAATTATCTAAACTGAAGGTGTTGATTATTCAAAATTTATATTTCTTCTGTTTCAGTGCGTTTCTTCGACAAACGGAGTTGTCGTTCCTCACTCGTCCTTGGAGTGTGGCCAGGTGACTATTCTCAGACAAACTGTGCCTCCCCCAATCTACATTCGTTTCTTTTCCGCCTTGACCTCTCTCAAAGCTGAAACCAAATACCCTGCACGGGCAGATGAGGATACAGCTTTGGTTGTTGACATCTTTTTTTAAAAAAGTTCTTGTAGCTGTCGGTGTTGTTGTTTTTGCTGCTACTGTTGTTCTTTCTCTTGTTTAAGTGCTGCTACTCTTTCTCTTGTTTAAGTGCTGCTACTGTTGTTCTTTCTCTTGTTTAAGTGCTGCTACTGTTGTTGTTCTTTCTCTTGTTTAAGTGCTGCTACTGTTGCTTTCACTGCCTGTCTACAGCTGTGGCCACATCAGTTACAAGAAAGAGAAGAAAACAAACCAGTAACTTTTAATGTTTTATTATCAACTCCATGATATGGAAATTCATGTAAGGTTCACGTACACTTTTTCTTTCTTTCTTCCTTTCTTTCTTTCTGTTTTTCTTTCTTTCTTTATGTATTTCTTCATAATCATATGTAGTGCCTATCAATTTATTTACTTACTAGTATGCTATGTTTGTATTTCAGGTGGGTTTTGTTTTCTTTGTTTGGGTTATTATTATTTTTTTACAAAACCTGATTGAGTGTTGAGCTTATAGTGAAGTGGGGGGAGGGGGGGCTGTAAATCGTCCTCTCTCTTTCCCCGACAGCTTGTTGTCTGAAGGACAAGAAATAAATACACATAATAAAACTAAGCTGGGAAAGTGAATGTTTCACTGTAACTTGATATTCTAATCTGTCAGCTTAACACATTTCTAAAGATAATTTCTGAAGTTGATTTGTGGCCCAATCCTGCGAATGTACGACGCAGAAAGATAAATATACTTACATTTTGCTTCCGTATTGATAATGACAATGTTTGTACACTTTTGCGCTTTTCAGTGACGCAAAAAGTAGCAGTATATATGCGTATTTCCGCAAACACAGACTCAGACACTCTGACACACAAACACAAACACTAGCACACACACACACACACACACACACACACACACACACACACACACACACACACACACACACACACACACACACTTACCAGCACCCAAAGACGTCAGATTCAGCTAATTACCCCCACATACATCGTGGAAACTCCAAAATTCTCTCGCCTGGGGTGGGGGGGGTTAAAAATATTTCAGCATGCGTTTGCTTTGCCAGGGTCTGCAAGGGCACTTCTTTAACTCATTGACGACGCGCAATCTCGTCATTCTACAAAGCTTGAAGAAACGTCGTTCTCGGACACATTTTCGTTGTTCATACAGATTTTTCCATCCTTTTTCCTTTCTCTGAAACTTAAAAAGTCAAGCAACAAAATGCATTTTCTATTAATATGCAAACTCTTGATTCTGATCTGTCTATGACAGTTCGAAATGGCCTACAACATTGTCTCTGCTTCTGGTCGGACTTATGTGTCCACTGCGTTCTCAAAGAGTGAATCTTTCGTCTCATTATTTAGCATTTATAGGCTTGTTCTACTAACATTGACCTGGGTCATTTATAGGCTTGTTCTACTAACATTGACCTGGGTCATTTATAGGCTTGTTCTACTAACATTGACCTGGGTCATTTATAGGCTTGTTCTACTAACATTGACCTGGGTCATTTATAGGCT